AAATGCTCTAGGCTGTGTAACCCTATGGAAAATCAGATGTATTTAACTTAGTTCTGGAAGCTTTAACTCTAACTAGCACATCCCTAACTCTGGAGAAGGAAGGCCTTCTTGCTGGCAGAGTGCTGAGACAGTGCAGGGCATCACATGGCAAGAGACGGAGCACACATCTGTGTCTGCATATGTGTTCTATATGTTGTCAGTCTCTGTCAGTCTCTTTCCCTCGCCACTGTCCTCTTCTGTGTTTCTCCCTATGTTCTGATGACCCTCACTAGTAATCATTAGAGCTTTCCCCTAATGGCTTTATCTAACCCTAATCACCTCCCAAAGACCCTACCTCCAGACATACTTGAATTGAGTTTCCATATTTTGTATCTCACAAGGGGGATTAGATTTTTACATGTAAATTATTGGGGTGCATACTCAAACCATATCAACACCAGAGAGACAATAATATACCGATACACCTTGGATAAATGTTGGAAACACACTAAATAATAGAGATCAGTTATGAAAAGCCGGGCTTGTTATCCCAGCTGTTCAAAGTCTGAAGCAGAGAACTGCCGTTGATAGACATGCATACTCTAAATGGGTAAATGCACAGCATTTTAAAAAGAGGTTGTCACAAATGAGTGCATACACACTGTACAGAAGCCACAGTGTTGATTCTTACTTTTGCCTATCATGGTGTCTTAAACAGAGTCAAAAACAAGATAATGAATGTCCAAAAACTAAAATATTCTAATTTCAATATAGTCTTCTGCATGTTCTTTATGAAGTAGCCAACTCACAGTCAAACAGAGAGGAGTGCTGCAGGAAGCATTTTGAGTAGCAGAAGGATGGTTTGTGTAGCTGTGTCAGAAAACGTAAAAGGCTTAGAAGATAATTTAAAATATAAAGTAACAACAGATAATGTGGTAAAAAAGAGAAAATGAAAAGAAAGCAATGTTGTTGAATTCCAAACATATAAAACCTACAATTAATCTTTACCCAAGGAGCAGGTGTAGGTCTTGTATTAGGATCGATTCCTAGAGGGCAGAACCAGAGTTTCTGGAGAAATATAGAATAAATAACAGAAATCCATAGTTCTGTTTTTGTTGTGTGTTTTTTTCTGTGTAGCCCTGGTTGTTCTGGAACTCGCTCTGTAGACCAGGCTGGCCTTGAACTCAGAGATCCACCTGCCTCTGCCTCCCGAGTGCTGAGGTTAAATACATGGGTCACCACCACCTGGGATAATAATCCTATTTTGATTTCCACTTACATGAAAGTTTTGTTCCTCTGTTTCTACCACATTAAGTGCTCTCTGTCAAGGAGGTGCTAAGTCTGTACTCAAGTATGATGTGCACACATACATGTACACTCTTATCCCATAGATGGTAACACATCTTATAAAAGAATATTAAGATTGCTCCAAGCGGTCCTGGGGAGATAGCTCAGTTGATAAAGTGCTTATTACTCAAGTGCAAAGCCCCAGGTTCCATCCACAGCACCCACATAACAAGCCAGATTCAGCAGTGCCTGCTTGTAATCCTGTCACTGGGGATACAGAGACAGAAGAGTCCCTAGGGACCTGCTCTCCCACTAACCTTGCCTGGAACCTTGCCTGGTCACAAGCCCGAGCCGCAGTGAAAACCCTGTCTCAGAAAACAAGGTAGATGAATCTTGCAGAACTGCACCTGATGCTGACCACTGGCCTTCACATGCAGTATGCATGTGCATCCACACACGCAGTATTACAGAAAGTCAAAGTACCATGCAAGCAGGATTTAAATGTGTAATGCTAGAAAAGAGAGAGTTGTTGTGGCCAAATGGATCACAATAAGAAATCACCCAGCAATTCAGTTTGTCTGGTGTTTGTCTAGTAATGGAAGATAAAGCTAGGGCCAAATTATATACCCCAGCTCTGCCACTTAGCAGCTGCAGTCAATTACAACCTTTTCCTGACCGTCCCTTAAAGCAGTTAAGATAATATTCCTGCCTGCCTTCCAATTGAGAGAATCAGATAAGGCTTAACACACTACCTAGCATAGAGGTTCCTTGTGTTTTGGCATGGGAAGATTTGATTGTCCAGTTAAGACATTTAGACTTTTATGTTAGAGGCAGCAACACATAAAAAGTTTTTAAAAAGGAATTAAATATGTTGAAGCCTGACTTTAGGAGATTACCATAGTGAATGAGCTGGCCGGGGGGGGGGGGGGGAGGTCATAGGAAGCCGCTGCAGCCATCCAGAAAGGTAATGGTACCCTAACCAGCATCTTGGGAGTGTAAGTCACCACATAAAACTGTAAAAATTGCCACCAGTTGGATGATGTTAACACCAGTAAGAAACAGGAGAGAAGAAACATGTTTGAAGGAGCATGTCAGGAGTCAGTTTTATACACACCGAGTTGGAGATACCATTGGTACCTCCAGGAAGAAAGGTGTGCTAAGCAGTTCTAAAGTCAGTATTGGGGTTAGGACTTAGGAGAATGAGGGGGGGGTTCTCGTAGGTTGGAGCCAACAGTCTGAGATTCCTAAGAGGAAAGATCATAGTCAAATCGGAAATTGTTATGAACAGAGCCCTTAGAGTTGGGCAAATGAAGATCAGACAAATAATACAACTTTATTTACTTTCACAAAACTTGTTTTTGTCTTTGTTCTTTTTTTTTTTTTAAGACAGCTTCAGTGTGTAGCCTTCCCTGACAGGCCTGTAGCCCAGGCTGGCTTCAAAGTTCCATCAATCTTCCTGCGTCAGCTTCCTAAGGGCCGAGATTAGAGGCATGCACCACTGTGCCCAGCGTTTCTTTCTGCGTAGTATTGTACAAACTGCTAAAAGGATATCACAGGAGCTGTTAAGATGGCAGGCCCGTTTGGATTCCAAGAAACTCATAGAGTGTTCTCAGAGGTTAAGATTGAGAGGTTTCACAGTTGCCCTCCGAAGCCACAGAGACATGGGTGGCCTTGAGGTCCTCTGAGGAGGCTAGTTACGTGCCTGATCCTTTCTCACCCAAAGTTCAACAGCTGGTTTTTTACCTTGGCATCTCTTGGTCACCTGGAGAGGGGGTGATTACAAGAAGGGAAATGGCTTTCCAATCCTTCTGCCTATTGAAGATCACTATGGATTTCTCTGGCACCAACTGTTTTGATAGATTCTTTACCCGTTAGTGTAGTTGTTTGTTTTTTACTCTTTACTCTTTAGGGGCCTGCCACTCAGCTCCCACATAAATCACACACGAGGGCTTATTCTTTCTATGCATGTCTGGTCTTAGCTTGGCTTATTTTTAGCCAGATTTCCTTAACTTAAATTATCCCATCTACCTATTGCCTCTGGACTTTTCCCTTTTCTTACTTCTGTAGATCTTTCTTTCACTCTGACTCTGTGGCTGGCTGTGTAGCTCGGGGACTAGCCTCTAGTGTCCTCGCTCCTTCCTCTCTTTTGCTACCGTTTCTCTCTTTTTCTATTTCTGTTTATTCTCTCTTCCTGCCAGCCCCGCTTATCCTTTCTCCTGCCTTGCTATTGGCCACTCAGCTATTTATTAGACAAATCAAGTATTTTAGACAGGCAAGGTAACTCAGTTTCACAGACTTAAACAAATGCAACGGAAAAGAATGAAACACATCTTTGCTTCATTAAACAAATGTTCCACAGCATAAACAAATGTAATACATCTTAAATTAATATTCCATAACACATTAGTGCTTGTAGTAGCCAGAAAGGGAAGGTGATTTGAGGCCATGGAATCTGGCTTTCCCTGAAGAACAAAGGGAGCTCCAGTTTGGGCCTGACCAAGTGAAGGTGTTGGTCATAATGGGGAAATAACTTGATCTGATTGGTTTACTTTCTTTGTTTCTAATCAGGGCCTTGTGTTTTAATTAACTTTTACAAGGGAATAGTGGGCAATAGACATAATCCACTTGGCTGGCAAGGAATTGTGTGGAGTACTATTGCAATATAAAAACATGCTAAGTCTTTGATACTGGAGGGTTTGTGATACTTTAAAATTAACGAGCTGGCTTTCTTTTCTGCATACACCGCTAGGCTTTTTTTTTTTCCATTTTAAAAGTGCACTTTTTCATTTTTATTTTTTTTTCTTTTTTTATTGAGAAAAGGAGAAAAAAAAAAACAAGTTTCCACCTTCTCCCAGCCTCCCATTTCCCTCCCCCTCCTCCCACCTAGGCTTTTTTAAATGACCTTTTATTCCATCTGTGTTAAGAGATTCTGTGTGTGTGTGTGTGTGTGTGTGTGTGTGTGTGTGTGTGTGTGTGTGTGTGTTTAGTTTTTGTTTGTCTTCCTCTATTTGCTTTTAGGAAGCTTGACAGTTAGGGTGGTTTAAAATTCATTTTGAAAACATTCTACCAAGGTCAGTCCCCTCCTGTTTTCTTCTAACAAGGCTATTTTATGCTAACCCTTAAAACCTACCAACTTTATTTCTCTCCTAGCCCCAGCTGTCAATTCATCCAGTTGCACGAGTGAAGGGGTTGAGGCTTGGGGAGGGGGCTGAATTGTTGTACTACTTGATGTAACAAAATGTGTTAGATCGGGTAACTTTACAAGAAACAAAATGTTTGTATAGCTCACAAGACTAGAGATTCAAGGGCACGGTGTTGCTGCTTTCATCTTGGCTCTGGTAAAAGCCTTATGGTGGGTGGGATCACAGTATTAGGGTTGTGTGCAAGAGCAAGTCATTACATCTTTTACAGCATCTGATTTTCCTGAGAACTAACTCAGGGTCCCACGAGTGCTACCCAAATCCCTTCTGAGGATAACACAACGCTCCCCCCACCCCCAGCCTGTGACCTAACAATCTCCACAAGGGGCTTCCTAGTAAAAGTCCCACATCATCTGTTAACATTGACACGCTAGGGACAGCATCCAGTACACTCTCAGGAAGAAAGCATCTCTTGGCCGTGGCAATAATAGTCCTACCCTGAAAGAATATGTGCCTTGAGGAGGGGATTTGTAGAGTAAGAATATTCTTAACCTGTACTGTGACAGCTTACAATTTTGTTTCTTCTTTCTGCAGTAAATACAAATTGATCCTAAGTGAGGAGCCTGTGGAGAAACGAAGGAGGTTCCAAAATGATATGACACCATCTCCTATAGATTACTCCATGTCCAGTCCTTACAGGAGGGGAGAGGCCACTATTGCCGACCTAGGAGGAGAGGACAGCCTTGAGAAATCCAGTTCTGAGAGAAGCACACCACCATACCTCTTACCAGAATACCCAGAAGCAAACAAGAGCACAGGCCACAACAGGGAAGCTCCAGCACTTTGTCTAGGGTCCCAAGACCAAGACCAGGAGTCCCTGCTTTCTGAAGAATTAGAAGATCAGATGCCAATATTGGTAGCAGAAGAATCTAACCGGAGTAGCGAGAATAGAGAAGTGAATGAAGGGCCTTTTGTAGCGGTGGTCAGAGTTGCGAAGGGACTTGGAGATTCAGGAGCTCCCATCCAGCTATTCCCTTTCAACTGGGAGGAGTTTGTAGGCAGAAGAAAGGCAGCAGCGGAACCTTGGAACCTGAACCCTTATTCTCCTGTGGCCCCTGCCACAGCTACTGCAGGCAAAGGAAAAGGCTACCAGGAGAGTGGAAGTCGGAACATGCCAAAGATAAAGAACCAGAGAGAACTGGAAGAATTGAAGAGAACCACAGAAAAACTGGAGCGTGTTTTGGCTGAAAGGAATCTGTTCCAGCAAAAGGTTTGGGCAATGCCTTACCAGTAGGGATAAGAAGAGGTCATTGTAACCAAGGGACAAGGGCAGTGCTTCTCAACCTTCCTAATGCTGCAACCTTTTAATATAGTTGATCATGTTGTGGGAACCCCTAACTATAAAATTGTTTTATTACTTCATAACTCTAATTTAGCTGTTGTTATGAATCATATTGTAAATACCATGTTTTCTGATAGTCTTAGGTGATCCCTATGAAAGGATCATTTGAAATCCCATTGGGTCATGACCCACAGGTTGAGAACCACTGGACTGGGGTACTGATATTTTGGTGGTTTCTTTCATATTCTGAAGCTTTTAAACAAAATATGCCGTTAAACTAGTCTGTGGTATTCTCAGATTGAGAGGACCCTAATGGGCTTTCCCTCTGTATTTTAGGTTTGACAAGAGATTTGCATAAGTATAATAAAGCATTATAAATAATAGAACCACAGGATAGATTTAGTAGAAATGGTTCGGGATACTCTAACTTTTGGTTGTATTGATCACTGACTTTGTCTTTCTTGGAATGCAGGTAGAGGAGCTGGAACAGGAGAAGAATCACTGGCATTCTGAATTTAAGAGAGCTCAACATGAATTGGTGACCTATAGTACCCAGGAGACTGAAGGCTTATACTGGAGCAAGAAGCACATGGGTTATCGCCAAGCTGAATTCCAGATTCTGAAAGCGGAGCTAGAAAGAACCAAAGAGGAGAAGCAAGAACTAAAAGAGAAACTGAAAGAGACAGAGACACAACTGGAAGTATTGCAGAAGGCCCAGGTCTCCTGCCAGAACACAGAGAGAGATGACTTAGAAAGGTTAATTACTAGGGTTTAGTTATCACCTTGTGAGTACTAAGGGGAATTATCCACTAAGACCCCCAGTTTACTGGTCATAGGGGAGAAAGTCTTAATTCATTGACCACCACGGATTGAGTAATTATTCCTTAGAAAGCCGCAGCCAGTCTCCCCGTGTTTGATGGCATGGTTCTGTCTGCCTTCTTCCTACCTCATGGAGACCTAATTATTAAGACCTATAGGCCCATTGTGCAGGAACTTCGTATTATTCTGTTGGCTAATGACTTCCTGTCATCTCTTCTCCTATCCCCTCACTCCATTATACAGGGCTTTGGCAAAGCTTACGCGGCTACGTATCCACGTCAGCTATCTCCTTACTTCTGTCCTCCCTCACTTGGAGCTTTGTGAGATCGGGTATGACTCAGAACAAGTGGATGGGATCCTGTACACAGTGCTGGAGGCAAATCGCATACTGGATTGAGCACCAGACTATATATCCTCTCCTAGCTTTCTCTTTTCTTTACTGCCTGTGTACTATATGTCTCCCCCAGCTGCTGCTGCTTCTTCTTCCCTTCTCCCTTCATATCCCTCCCCCAGCCTCCTTCTTTCCCTTTCACCTTTATGCCTTATATTGAAAGTCTTTGAATAAGTCCTGGTTCTTAATCAGTGTACTTTGCATTCAGTGTGGGTGTGAAGAAAGAGGCCCATTAAATAGCCTTTTAAGAGTCCAGGAACAGAAAAGCAATAGTCACCAAGTTAGGTGACTGGAAAGCACTAATTTTCATGATCTAGATATGTGGCCTATTTCGTGTTCTGCTAATGGTTCGTCTTCATTTGGGTTAAATCAGTCAGCAAATGTTGGGTCCAATTCACCTGGTGGGAAAAGTCATGCTGCCAGCCCTGCCAGGGTTCTAACAGTCTAGCCGGAAGCACAAGTCACAGCAAGTTAGCTAACTATAAAAGAAGGGTATGGTGTGCCTGAGTGGTATAGGCGTGGCATGGAAGACAGAGGCGAGCAACTTAAAGGAAGGCAGTACACCATAAGTGGGACCTAATGAAGGTTAAGGAGTGAGCATAGCAACGCTCTTAATGACGGTTGTTGCTTAAGTGGTAGGATTATGGTTGATATTTTCCTTCTTCCTATCTTCTTGCCCTTTTCAAATTTTCTATTACATTCTCGTTGTTCTTCTTATGTTGCAAAATAAATTGTTTTGAAAGCTAACAAGTAGGCTTGAGTTTGGGTGTCAAATGAGACATTTATGAAAGTCTAAAGTCATTTTACATTTATACTTTCTGTTGAGTTTAACAGTACCTCTGGAGAGACAGCATAAACAAATGTGCAGAAATCCACAAGGTGAAAAATGTGTTTGGTAAGACTGATAGGTTTGCATAAAAGGAACCTACCAACCAACTCACCAGTTCCCCACGGTATTATTATTTTAATAATAGATATGTGAAAATAAATATACGAGGATCACAATTTATGTATCACTACATTGTTAAATTCCAGGTATCAAAAAATATTTTAGATTAGAAAGATTTAGTTGCTATCCCTTGTAGTGTAACTGCATAATTTCTAGGCTATTCAGAGTGATACTCATGAAAAGAAGGTATTTTATGAATCCATTGCTTTATTATATTTATGTAGTATATAGTCTGCAAGTACTCCTGAAAATACGCTGAACAGTGATGGTATATATAATATATATATATATATTATATACACATATAAGTATACATACATATATGTATATCTATACATACACACATACACCTATGTATGTGTGTATGTCTGCATTGAAAACTAGGATGCAGAGGATAGGAATAATAACAGGAAGGCAGAATCCACCAGCAGTAAAAGGATTCCCTAGTATAAACAAAACACTTGGGGTAGTCATTCTGTTTTCCTCAGTAGATTTATTTCAGAGGACTGTCCCAAGGATACCTTACCTCCTTTGAAGGGAGGCCCATCATAAATAAATGTTCCTGGGAGTCTGTGGAGAATATGATGAGGCCATAGCCAGGCTTCCCCATTAGAATGGTACCCAAACATACCCGTGCTCCTACCACTCTATCTCACCGCAGCTCTAGCAGGCTGTATTATTATCTTCTGTTTCCGACATTTGCATCAGTATATCTAAGACCTCGGTTGTCTCAATGGGCTTATTAACAAGAGAAGGATCACATGCAATTATTTTCTCAGTGATACTTGTTTGTCAGATGGGGACGGGGAAGGGTGGGGTTTAGCACAAATCCGAATACTATGAATGGGAGCCCAGGCAAGGAGGAATTTCAGTGAATGGAAAGTTCAGCCTGTGTAGCCGTTTGTTGGATGTGTGGGGGGAGGCAGATAATGGAACTCTAGAGGGGAAAAGATTGAAAACTTAACTCATCTTTACCGGTGCTTCCTGTCTGTACAAACTCCCCGGTTCGTGTCCTGTCTGCCCATGGCTTTGAACTCACAATTTTTCTTCCAGCGGCACCCACCTGTGTTAGTCTCTCTGCTCCAGTGGCAGAGCCTTTGCTTTCTTACCTGGTTACCTTGATACCATACAGACACTTATGGTAAAATTCAAACCTTTTACAAATGTCCTACAAGACCTCCTACCTGTATGTCAGCAGTTTTCCATGGTGTTTCCTTCTGGAAACATGGCACACTGTCAGCTAACCTCAGAGGCTACTCTGGTACTCTGCCCTCTGATACATTCTGTGACCTCACTGCAATAAAAGGATTCTCTAGTTCCAGACAATACACTTTGAAAGGTGACCCATCCTAGATAAACAGTCCTGTACACCTTGAATTCATGTTAAATATCACTGTGGAAAGACTGGAGTATTGCCCATCCTTACCAGAAGCCGTGATCTAGTATCAAAACAGGTACTAACAATGAAAAAAAACAGAGGTGCCTCCTCCTGGCTTTCCTCTGAGGTTAACATAAATCTCCTTACAAATATTTCCCTTTACTTGTCAGTTAGCATGTAGGTGCTTATTATCTCACTTCTTGACAATTGAAATCGATTCTTAATTGGCCTCCTTCATCTCCTATTCCCATTCCTCGGTAGGCACTTCTTAATATCACTAAACAGCTCTTAACATCTTATCAGGTCATGTCTCTGAACAAAAACTGGCTATTACTCACTTTTGCCCACAAAATGTTATACAAATTCTTTAGCGTGGTTCTCAAGCCCTGTGTTGTCTGGGGTACCCTCTTCTGTACACCCATCTTCCAACAAGCCAAATACAAAGCTCTCTTCCATCCACGTTGAGCTGCTTTTCGATTTCTAAATGTACCTTCGGATTTTTGTCCTCTGCCTTTCCTAGTCCACTCCTGAAATGTTCTTAATCATCTTTCCTTTGGTTCTAATGCCAACTTATTTCTGAAGATTCCTCTAGCCCAGGAAGGCATGAAATTTTTCTTTGGACGTGTTAAGCCTTGTGCCACTTATAAGACTTGTGTCATAAACTTCCTATTAGAAAGCTCCAGATTGATATTCAACTGCCTACTTGACATTTACACTTACATAGCTCACAGACATTTCAAGAAAATCATGCTAAGAATAAACAGCGCCATACCCCAGGACTTCTCCCCCCACAGTTCTTCATGTTAGGAAATGGCACCTCCTCCCACCCAGTTGCTTAAGCTAGAAACCTGGAAGTCATCCTTAATTCCTCTTCTCATTCCCTGCATCCAGTCTGTCAACATGTCTGTTGTTTCTATTGCCAGTGTATAATCTTTACTCTACTCGCTTTTACCACAACAGCCTTAGTCTAAACTCCCATCCTTCCTTCGCTTGGATCATAACAACTAACAAGAGACTGTGGGAACTCTCTTGTGCTCACAATTAATTGTTCTATCGTTAGAAAGAGTGTGTTTTTAAAAACGAAAATACAAATCAAATCATGTGACTCTGCTTAAGGCAATAAGTCACTTCTCATTCGCTTCCCATTTGATTTAGAGTAAAATCACCCCCCCATTACAATGTCCTACAAGACCCCTGCTTACCTCTTACGTTGGTCTCAGTGATCTTCCATCACTTACCTCTTTACATCCCCCCTCCTCCCCGCTCCCCCCCACACTTGGCTTCCAGCTGAAACATACCAAGCTCTCGCTTAAGCTCAGAGCCCTCATCTAGATGATGCCTTCTCCTGAGATGTTCTCTCCCCATTTTGTCCAACTGCAATGCTGTGTTTCCAGTCTTGCCATGGTTCACTCTTCTTGCTTCTATCTTCTTCCTAGATATGCCTTGCATTTTTCTCTATTTCTACCATATTATCTTGCCACAGTTTCCTTGTTTGTTTCCAGCTCATAGCAAAGCTTATATACTTAGCCATTTTCATTCATTCAACAAACTTTGGAGTGCCTGCTATGTGCTGAGTGATACCCAGTGGTGAATCTAACACGCACTGTTTTTATATACCTGTTTCAGTAAGTTCTATAAGGCCATACTGGTTTGCTAACCACTGTATCCTACTCCTTATCCTAGTACCTGGGATATAGTAAAGAAGCAATGAATGGTTTAATGATAGAATTGTGTTTTCTTCATATCTCCACCTCTGATCTAAAACAATTTCCCATTCATTGAGGAGGGTATATAAATCAGTGTGAGTGAGGTAGATAACAATCCTGGGTGTTAAGCTCTTAAAATGAAAGGCTAACACAGTAGGTGCTTCAGGCTATAGGAGTGGGCTTGTTGTGAGCAGCCTGGTGTTTCTCTTTAGTGACTCTTCAGTATGAATAATTCAACTATGAAAAAGAAAAGGGGAGATGGGTGGTCTTTACACAAACAATCTGAATAAATACTGAGAAGTACAAAATTTAACCAGGAGACTACCGTACAGACCAGATCTTGCGAGTAAGAACTAAACAGAAAAATTCTAAGAATTACTCTTCAGTCTTTTCAAGTGATGGTGGTTCGTTTCAGCTGTTAAAAAAAAGAGAGAGAGTTATCCAAAAGCTAAGAATAGAGCAGGCTTCGAGGAAGCGAGTTCCACGTGTGTGTTATTGGATGAACAAAAGAGCACCTGTGATAACCAGACCAGTGAACCTGTGGCACCAGAGTTCAGGAAGGTCTGTTTGCCCTGCTTACACATTGTCTGACCTAACAATTTAGAGGAAGAGGCTGCGTTCTTAGTTCCCAGGACAATCTCGAGGTAAAACATGTTTCAGAACCCTGTGCTGTGAACTAAAGCCCCTTCCTGTAGCACTACATTAGGAGTGAACTATAACACTCTTCTCGAGGATTCTCTGTGTAAGGTCAGGCAAAGGCAAGTACAAGTTCCCCTAAAGACTGGCACATTTCACGAGGACCACCCTACCTCATGATTTATATCGGGAACCATGAGTTCTGATTCAGAAGTCAGCGCGAGCTGGAGAGATCTCTCGGTGATTAAGAGAGCTTGCTGCTCTTGCAGAGGTTCAGTTCCCAGCACCCGTACTGGGGAGCTCCCAACTGCCTCCAGCTTTTGCCCCAGGAGGTCTGAACCCTAGTCTGGCTCTGCAGACAGCTGCATGCACATAACTGATAACAAAGTGGATCTTTAAAAAAAAGTCGGGGTGAGTTGTTCGTCAGCCCAGCACTCAAGAGGCTGAGGCACAAAGATCCATAGTCAAGGCCAGTGTTGACTGCACAGTGAGATCGGGTCTCACAAATAAAGGCACATGTTTGGATAATAAACTAAATAGTTGTAAGAACTGACCTCATAGCCCTGGGTATACAAAAAGTAGTTCATAGATGAGACATGAGTAGCAATTTAATTTTATTCATTGGCCCTGAATATTGAGGTGGGGCTTTGTGCACGCTAAATATACATGTTACTGGTGAACTATAAACCCCACCCAGTTTTGTGATGGAAAAAAATCTAAAGACAAAAGTTTTGTAACTCAGCATTTTGGTGTGAATCGCCATAAACCCCCAGCCCTCTTTTCGATAATGTTGTACAAATGCTTTCATTGCTTTCTGCATGCAAAACACATTCTTCACATCTGCATGCAAAACACATTCTTCACATCTGCCCATTGTTTTCTGAAAGCCATAGATGATAACTTAAGAGAAGAATAAGAAAAGGTGCCCAGCTCCCCACATCTACTCATCCAGATGAGCCCTGAAAGTCTAAAGAATTGGAAGGTGCAGAATGAGGAGAGCATGTCCCAGTTATTTGGGAGTAGTATAAATAATCACATTATGGTAGCAGGGATACGGGAAGATGGAAGGTAGC